CAACCCCATTCAGACACAAGGTAGAGACTACATGCTGTTCTCCTTAATCCAATTTCATCGTCATTTAAAAGTTGCTTCCCCGTTAGGAACAGTGGTCTGTTTTCACAAAATTTTCTTCACTCATGTTTTTTTACTTTTACTCCCGCAGTCTTCAATGCTGTGTACAACAGTGATGATAACGTGTTTGTGGGAGCTCCCACCGGCAGTGGAAAGACCATCTGTGCAGAGTTTGCCATTCTGAGAATGCTGCTGCACAGTGCAGAAGGTCGCTGTGTCTACATCACCCCAATGGAAGCACTGGCTGAACAGGTCTGAATTAAATTAGATTTAGGAGTGCACCTATGAAAACTGGCAAACTGTTTTTCTTCCAGCGTGATTCTGTTAGATCTAAAACTGACATGAGTGTGGTTATCCTTGTCTCAGGTGTTTATTGACTGGCACCAGAAGTTCCAGGACATCCTGGACAAGAAAGTTGTGTTGCTGACAGGAGAGACTAGTACTGATCTGAAGCTCCTGGGAAAAGGTGACATTATTATCAGTACCCCTGATAAATGGGACATCCTGTCTCGTCGTTGGAAGCAGAGGAAGAACGTCCAGAACGTCAGCCTTTTCATTGTGGATGAGACGCACCTTATCGGAGGCGAAAATGGAGTAAGAACAGAATACTACTTGCTGCTGCACTTTTGTGTGTGTGTGTGTGTGTGTTGTGTTAATGGATTTTGTTTCTTGTCATCAGCCTGTGTTGGAGGTCATCTGCTCCAGGATGAGATACATCTCTTCCCAGATTGAGCGTCCCATCCGTATCGTGGCCCTCAGCTCATCTTTGTCCAACGCCAAAGATGTGGCCCACTGGCTGGGCTGCAGCACCACAGCCACATTCAACTTCCATCCCAATGTCAGACCCGTGCCTCTGGAGCTGCACATCCAGGTCTGTAAACAGCATGTTAGTCAACAAAAAGAGAAATGTATTTCTTAAATTGATCAGTGCTCACAGCCAAGAAAGTACCTGTCAGGTTTCTGATTGGCTGTCAATCTTTTACTGTTTTTCTAGGGTTTCAATGTGAGTCATACTCAGACTCGCCTGCTGTCCATGGCGAAGCCGGTCTATCACGCCATCATGAAGCACTCTCCCTCGAAGCCAGCCGTGGTTTTCGTCCCATCCCGCAGGCAGACTCGCCTCACAGCGATTGACATTCTCACTTTCTGTGCTGCTGATGTGGTTCCTCAGAGGTCAGTCAGCACGTCGAGATTTTCACCTTAGACAAATTCATGAAAATGATGCCAGCAACACCATCTTCACACTGTGGTCAAAGAGTAAATGTCTGTCTCTGCAGGTTCCTGCATTGTGCTGAGAAAGACCTGGCTCCATTCCTGGAGAAAATAAATGATTCTACTCTGAAAGAGACTCTGGCCAATGGCGTGGGATACTTGCACGAGGGCCTCTCTGCAACTGAACGCAGAATAGTGGAGCAGCTCTTCAACTCAGGTATGACTCACTTCTGCTGCACTTTGTGCTGGACAGGTAGGTGGTTTTTAGAAAAGGGGAAAAAACAACATTGAGACTAATTTTTTATTTATTTTTTCCTTCTCTTCTTCTGCTTTGACAGGTGCTGTTCAGGTCGTCGTGTCCTCTCGTTCACTGTGCTGGGGCATCAACATCTCAGCACACCTTGTCATCGTCATGGACACTCAGTACTACAATGGCAAAATTCACGCGTAAGGCATCTTCTGTTTATACTGGCTTTTTTTTGTTATATGAAACATATTTAATGAAGGTCACTCTGCTGGTGATGTTGACTTTTTGCTTTCTTCTATCAGATATGTGGATTATCCCATATATGATGTCCTCCAGATGGTGGGCAAGGCAAACAGGCCAATGCTGGATGATGAGGGGCGCTGTGTAATCATGTGTCAAGGCTCTAAGAAGGTAGACAGACCTCAGTCACTTCTGGCTTTGAAACAATGACTGTACAACAGAACAAACCACTTTGTTTTTTCTTGATAGGATTTCTTCAAGAAGTTCCTGTACGAGCCGCTGCCTGTGGAGTCTCACTTGGATCATTGTCTCCACGACCATTTCAATGCTGAGATCGTCACCAAGACAATAGAGAACAAGCAGGATGCTGTCGACTACCTGACATGGACATTCCTTTACCGCCGTATGACCCAGAACCCCAACTACTACAACCTGCAAGGTGAGTCCCGTCCTTCAAAGGGAATAACCGACTTATACTTCGGATGTTGGGACCATGTTGAGCTGTGGCTTCTGTCCTCCTGACAGGCATGTCACATCGCCACCTGTCTGACCACCTGTCTGAGCTGGTGGAGAACACATTACACGACCTGGAGCAGTCCAAGTGCATCAGCATCGAGGATGAGCTGGATGTAGCACCACTCAATTTGGGCATGATTGCTGCCTACTATTACATCAACTACACCACCATCGGTTTGTGCTTGCACTTCCTGGATTTTTTGTATTTGTGTCATCATTCCTTCACGTATGTGTTCAACTCAAGCCTAACTGTGGTGCTTTGCTCTTGTGTCGTACAGAGCTCTTCAGCATGTCACTGAACGCCAAGACAAAGATCCGCGGCTTAATTGAGATCATCTCCAATGCTGCCGAGTATAAGAACATTCCCATCAGACACCACGAGGATGCACTTCTCCGACAGGTAAAGAAAGTGACGAGACTCAAAGAGAGCAGCATTAACACATCTGCAAAAAGACACCAAGATGAAATAACACACTTTTATGTGCTCTTTGCATTTCAGCTTGCACAGAAAGTGCCCCACAAGCTGAACAACCCGAAGTTCAATGACCCCCACGTGAAGACTAACCTGCTGCTGCAAGCCCATCTCTCCAGGATGCAGCTGAGCGCTGAGCTCCAGTCAGACACCGAGGAGATCCTCAGCAAGGTCCAGTTTTTTCTCTGTAAAGCCTAACAGTTATGTTTCTGGATTTTTATCCATCTATATGTTTTTGAACAAGCTATTACTTGCACAAAAAGCACACATATAAACAGAATGTGTCTTAAAAAGAATGAACAAAATCGCCAGACCAGCACATCCAAAAAGACAACAAACAAACAAGGAAATGAGCAAGCTTCCATATTTGATACATAGGAAAGAAATTGCTGCCAGGTTTCAAAAAACAGTTAGGCTGATGTTTTAGTAAAACAGTTGTAAAAAATACATGATGTCCTAAATCCACTGTACATGTGATGGAGGTGAGGAGTCCTCTTACTGTAGGATGAGCCTTCTTATCACATGAACAAAAGACGGCTTGTACCCTGTTCAGATTCACATTTCAAGGGCTTACACCAAAACATTGCTGTAATAGATTTTAGAAAGCATTTAAAAATTAGACAGGTAAATTTGTTAATTTTGGATTTGACTGAAATATATGACAAAGGCACAAAAAGACTTTAGAATGATCCCATAGGGAGTGGGTTAGATCATGAGATCACTGTAAATCAGTGATTCCCAAAGTGAGTGCCGTGAGTGAAATTCAGTTTTAATTCATTTCAATTTTACTTAAACGCCAAATCACAACAGCAGTCGCCTCAAGATGCTTTATATTGGAAGGTATATTTGTACACTTAAAGAATATGTGTGTGTGTGTGTGTTGTCTTTTTTGTAGGCTGTCAGACTGATTCAGGCGTGCGTTGATGTGCTGTCCAGCAACGGTTGGCTGAGTCCTGCACTGGCTGCTATGGAGCTGGCTCAGATGGTCACTCAGGCCATGTGGTCCAAGGACTCGTACCTCAAACAGCTGCCATTCTTCACCTCAGAGCACATCAAGCGCTGCACAGAAAAGGTAAAATGATCCTAGGAAAGTCTGACTCTCACTTTAGTGTAGATGAATCTCATGCTGATTGAACGTGCTTCCGTTTCCTTTGCTCATAAGGGAGTGGAGAGCATCTTTGACATAATGGAAATGGAGGACGAAGACAGAAGCGCGTTGCTGCAGCTCTCGGATGCCCAGATGGCCGACGTGGCTCGCTTCTGTAACCGCTACCCCAACATCGAGCTGTCGTATGAAGTGGCAGAGAAGGACAGTGTCAAGAGGTACGTGTACAGTCTGGCAGCAGCACTTTTCGCTGCGTTTCCTGGAAATGAAAAATTACATTACAAAATTGCACAGATGGGTGGGAAATTGATCTCTTTCCATATTTATTCACAGTGGCAGTCCAGTTCTGGTTCAGGTTCAGCTGGAGAGAGAGGAGGAGGTAACGGGTCCAGTCATTGCACCGCTCTTTCCCCAGGTTAGTACTTTTCAAACATCTCCATGACGTATATATTTCTTTAATTTTCACCTTAATGACCAACTCTTGTGGAAATACTTGTCATTGTTATAGAAACGTGAGGAGGGCTGGTGGGTGGTGATCGGAGACCCCAAGTCTAACAGCCTGATCTCTATCAAGAGGCTGACTCTTCAGCAGAAAGCAAAGGTCAGTGAGTCATCTTGTAATAGCCCGAAATTATGTTTTAACCACCAGAGGCCTCACTTAGTTTATGTCCCTCCACCGCAGGTCAAGCTGGACTTTGTTGCCCCGGCGATGGGCATCCACAACTACACCTTGTACTTCATGAGTGACGCATATATGGGCTGTGACCAGGAGTACAAGTTCAGCATAGATGTAAAGGAGGCTGACAGTGATGGAGACAGCGACTCAGACTAATCAGAGACTTGATTATTTTCTTCAGTGGTTCTCTGATAGATCGCGATCAGTAGTTTTCTTTTTTTGCTGTAGATATCCAACCTGATTGAAATTTCTTTACTTTGACTCTGCCATTACCATCTCTGCTCTTGTGAAAATAATGTTTGTTTTCAGTTGCTTCTTAGTTAAGTCCTCTAAATGATGCCAGTCCAAGAATATAGTGTACAGGATCTGTTTGTCCACATGTAGTACAGATACATGGCTACCCAAGCCCCAGTCTGTTTTCAGTATAAGAAGTTTAACACTTTGTACTTTTGTGTCAGTTTTGGGATCTGACAAAAATGTAATTGGCCATTGTGGATTAAAGAAACACATAAATCCTGGGGATGGTGCATCCTTAAACCAGGTAGGGTGTTTAAAAACAACTGTCCGGTTATATTTTGGATTGAAATCATTTTATTATAAAATTTAATCCTTGGACTGGTTGAAGTGTTTTACTATGATGTGCTGTCTGAAATGCTTTTGCAATAAAAAGGAGAAGAAACATTTTTCACTTTATTTTATAGTTAAACATGTTATTTCTATTAATTCTCAGTGGCGCTGCTACTCAAAGCACATGAAGCAGTATTCTCAGCATGGACACAGATGAGCGCTGATGTCAAGCAGAATCCTGATGAGCTATAAAATAATGATCTGTGGTGAATGCCGCAGAAAGTTCCCAATTTAACGCGCAACTATGCACTCCAGGGATGTTCATTCCTCTTCTTGGAACTTCCAAATGGCAATTTCTCCGTTATCGCTGCACGAAGCCAGGAATCCCGCCTCCTTTGGGTTCCAGGACACACAGTTAACATCTTGGTTGTGAGCTCTGGCCACCTGAGCAGCCAGTGAGAATACCGGCTCCTCGGGATTGGCCGTCTCATCCTCCTTGAAAACTCGCACTGCGTCATCACCAGAGGCAGTTGCTAAAGCGCCAGTCAGCCGACACCTGCAGAAAGATTTGGGTTCACTGTGACGTCTAACAATGACAAATTCATGAACATGGAGACCACATCTTTGGAATTTCTGGTGGTCAATTAACCTCCACTTCATGTTTGCGCATAATTTCTAGACACAGAGCAACACATATTCCTCAAATGTAACCATACTGCATTGTTATGGAGAAATTACAAGTTGTGGAACAATTACCCCGTTGCTATCGCAAGTCGATCTTAAATGTGACGACCAGACTAAAGGTCAGTAAATTCAAGCACACATTCAGCTGAATTCTGTTTTCTTACACCCACCAATTCAAGTGCATAATCCTAACTACAGTTTTTCCTCAAAAACTGCCATTAATCTGTAGCTACTGTACACAGATAGCAAAAGTTGGATCCATCCCAGTCTTTTTCTTATCTGGGTATGCTGCTGATTGTCAGGTGAGATGTGTGCTAATTTTTGTCTTATTGCAGCCATCTGCTGGTAGCCAGCATTTGTGAAAGGTTATAAAACATGTATGATCCTTCATATCTTTAGTCTGAAGGTGAAAACACAAATTGCCTCCACACCACATGAATGCCCCGTCCTTTATCATACTATATATCTAGTTTAGAAGTTTATGAGAATGCATCAATTCGTTGGAAGATGTAATTACACACTAATAAATGTATATTTATCAGCACAATGGGGATTTTTTTTTCCCATTAAATGACTTCAAACAATGACTGATTGCACCTTTAATGAATGACTGAAGCATTCCTACAAGAGTCTATTAAAAAAATAGTCTTACCAGGAGACATCATACACCGCTCGTCCATGGTACCCAGACAGAGTGCAAACACACTTCCACGACAAATCTTAAACAGGAGACCAGAAAAAACATACGCATTACTGTCGATATTTTTATTACCACATTGATTTATGATAAAACTAATGCTGACTCACCCTGTCCACTTTCAGCTGGATACTCTCTCCAGATCTTCACAGTGCGGTCATCGCTGCACGAAGCCAGCCTCTGACCATCTGCATCAAAACACAAACTCCACACTGTGGACGTGTGTCCCTGTAAGGTGGCCCGGCACTCCCAGTCATCATCCTCTTCTTTGTAAAGGCAAATGTTGTTGTCATAGCTGGCTGAGGCCAGGAGCTGTACAATCACATGGTGAGTGCAGGGTCACGTGGTGTTACAACAGGCGATGGAAAAAAAAAAAACATTCATGTGGACAGGTCCGAATGAGACCTACCTCCTGGGTCGGGTGCCAGACAACGTGCTTGACATCTTGCGTGTGAGAGTTCACAACTGTAACACATTCATACTCGTCTTCTTCATCCACTGCAGAGCAGGAAGAGACATGGTCAAGTTTAGAAACAGGCAATGGTGCAGATCAGTATGTGCAATTTAGGCGCTCTTTAACACAAACCTTCCCAAACCCAGACGCTCTTGTCTCGGCTACATGTGGCTAGAAGATTCCCTGAAGGGGCCCACGCCACGCACTTGACCTCGTTTTCGTGTCCTTCCAGCACAGTCAAACTCTAGGAGACAAAGCGTGGGTAACAATCTGCAGAGATGCAGCATTTCTAAGGCATGCCATTTAACACACTGAACAGGAGACCTGTCATCTGACCTCAAAGTCATCGTTCTTCTTTTTCCAGATGCAAGTGGTAGCATCAAAGCTGGCAGAGGCCAGATAATTCCCACATGGAGACCAAGCCACTTTCCTCACAGTGCGCTGGTGTCCATCCTGCAACACGTTCTTACATATCCAGGAGTCACCTGAAAAATGAGAGCCAGGTAGAGGGGTGAAGGATGTCAACTACTGTACTATAATGCTTTATTATGCGACTGAGGCTGGGGGTGTCTGTGGTTCAGTTCACGGAGAGCTCACCTTCTTTCCCCCATATCCGGATGGTCTTGTCGCCCCCACATGAGGCCAGAAGCGTCCCGTTGGGGCTCCAGCTGACGAACCAGCAGCGGGAGTCCGGGTGTGCGCTCAACCTCTGAACCAGGGACAGAGCCTCCTTCATGGTCGAATTGGGGAAATACTTCCGAGTCGTTGTCACTGACACTTAGCCGAGAAACGAGACAGGAAATGGCCCGAAACACCAAAAGCAGACAGAGAGCAGCAGCAGCAGCACTACGTAAACCCTAAACCACAGTCAACACCCAGGGCACGGATACAAAGAATTGCCGTATCTGCGATAAACACAGCCTGTAACTAGCACCAAACAACAAAGTGCATAAGTTCACAACATCAGCGGTGACCAAAATGCCGCCATCTTTGCTTATATAGTCCCGCGCTGCATTGTGGGTTGCAGTTTCGTGGTCTTATTTTTTTTTTTACCGTCGGCAAATTTCACGTAAAAAACAATTACTTGAAATTTACGGTGTTTTATTTTATGTTGTATTTTATTGTATGTATTCTATTGATCTGAGGTTTTATCTTGTTTGTTCTTACCTAGCTTGCAAAGCACTTTGGTCAGACTTGTTTCTTTTAATTGTGCTATACATTTTTTGTCATCTCTTTTTATGATTTCCTATGAACTATTCACGCGAGCACGTTTATTTTGTTAATGTACAATGAGTGAGTTTAATAAAATAAAGACGAGAATTTTGTTATTGTATGATGACTTTCACTCCCATAGGAGTCGCCGCCAGTAGTACTGACTTTCACAGCTATCGAGACCGCGAAGAAGAAGAAGAATGGTATGAACAAGGAAGTCAAGTGTTTTCGAGGAAGCCAGCGGACGTTTCCTTTTGTTTTGTCTTTGTTTTTTGTGTACCAAATCGATCGTTAATTTATTAGTGTTGTTAGCTATATTACTTTATAGACGTATGACTGTCGTGTCGGTCGCTGTTAAAGTTATTTTTTGTAACAAAGAAAAACTTGACGACATTTTGCGTTTACGAGAAGTTAGCTTTTCAGGCTAACAACAGAGCTAGCAGGCCTGAACGCCATCTGTCTATTGTGTTGCCGTCAGTCAGACACCTGCACTGCTTTTGATTAATCAGCTAGTTTTATGGTCTGTTTTAATTTGGAAACTGAGTGAACAAAGGAGCCGGGCCGCTGTCATCAGTCCAGAATTAGCTTTACCGGTTGTCGGTTTTGTGGCTTACTTGCTCGTTACTAGCGCAGTGCTGTCAGGTACACTGACAATAAAGGGAAAGCAACACTATACAACAGAGGACGAGGAAATCGGATTAGGATGTATGCCCCGCCGGGTTCTACTGTCCCTGGAGGCCGAAGGAGGAGAGGGGGCACCTCGTTGCCCAAGCAGCCGGAGCGGAGCCTTGTGTCGGCTCTTCCCGGAGCTCTGTCCATTACAGCGCTTTGTACAGCTCTGGCTGAGCCGGCTTGGCTCCGCGTCCACGGAGGAACCTGTCCGAGACAAGAGCTGGGGGTGTCAGATGTCCTGGGATACATTGACCCCAAGCTTCTGGATGGTGAGGCCCACACACAAGCTCCGTTAAAAACCCACAGTAGCAATTAATCCCAGAGCTCACGTGTAATGTTCTGTGATGTGTCCGTCTGTTCCCATCAGATTACTGCGTGAACCCGCAGACCATCTTGCTGCTGAGAGTAATCGCTGCCTTTTGTTTCCTGGGAATCCTCTGCAGTCTGACTGCTTTTCTCTTGGATGTGTTTGGTCCCAAGCACCCTGCCCTGAAAATAACCCGCAGATATGCTTTTGCACATATTCTCACAGGTAATAATCTTTTTTTCCCTCATGCTGTCTAGAAAAAGACAGACAATGTGTAAATTCAATGGTTTGTAACCGTTTCTTTCTGTCTCCCACCAGTGCTGCAGTGTGCCACAGTCATAGGTTTTTGCTACTGGGCCTCAGAGCTGATCTTGTCCCTACAGCAGCAGCACAAAAAGTACCACGGCTCTCTCATATACGTCACTTTTGCTATCAGCTTCTACCTGGTGGCGGGCGCGGGCGGAGCATCCATCCTCGCCACAGCTGCAAATCTCCTTCGTCACTACCCCACTGAGGAGGAAGAGCAGGCTTTAGAGCTGCTCTCGGAGATGGAGGACAGCAGTGAAACATTTCCTGCCGATTATGACATTGCCAATCAATTTCAACCGCCACCCGCATACACACCCTAATGCCACCAGACTCGCCTTGCTAACACCTTTCTCTCTCAGCACAGCTACTTAGCTTGATGGGCAAAGCCCCGCTCTTTATCAAATGGATATCTTTGCAAAAATACTGAGTGAACACAGCGTGACAGTGCGCAGGTTCCTTGAATGACGGTGCTTGGGTGCATGAAAGCTTTCTTTAGTGGTGACAGAAATGTAGAAGCTAATTCTTACTTTCACCACTGGAGTTGTTGGTGAATTGCATGTAAATGGCTTTTAGGGATTTGGTTCATACATGTAAAGAAAACTAAACTTGCTGGAAGTGCTCAACACGGCTCATGACAATTAATTGATGGAACAACCAGAGCTGGATTGTTTTTGTAGGATTTAGTTGAATGAGCGCTGTCGGCAGTTGTTTTGCTTTTGACCGGATGTGAGTGGAGCTTTGTCTGCGTTATGGTTTTAGTTTGACGTGCTTGCCATTTGTGTGAATTTCATTTTACCGACACTTTACAGATGCAGAAATACACTGACGAGATTCTTTGAACGTCTTTATTTTATATAAGATATCAAATTGGACCTCATTTATTGTCTGTGCTGTCTTTTTGTAGTTTTTGCTTTGTTCTTCTTTTCACTAGTTAAGTCTTCGTTGTTCCCTTCTGTACTTGACATAAAAAAACTGTCAGAAATTGGGAGCCAGGTCTTTGGTGTTTTAAAACGAATCATGGTGTGTGTGTGTGTGTGTCGCCGCGCCGCGTGTAAGAGAGAGTGTGTGTGTGTGTGTGTGTGTGTGTGGCAGTTGAGAGAAAGTGAGAAACATGTTTGTATTGTTTCACAGTAAGGGTGACATTTAGTTTAAAAAACACCTCACAGCATCAGAAGTTGTTCATTATATTTCTTGTGTTTGCTTTTGAAAAAAAAAAATTATTTGCACTTTGTGATTCCCACATGTGACCGTTTCAGTATGCATTTCCAGTGCATGAGTTCATTTGTGTGAAGACTTTAAACTTTGAGTCACAATCTCAACAAGAACATCTCCCACAGACAGAGGCTTGGACTTGTGACTGATGTTGTGATTCTTGTTGGTTGTGTATTGTTCTGTTGATTCCATAATTTTCTGCATTTGTCCCTCAAACTGTCACTATAACCCCCCCTCTCTTCCTCAATTTGTAAATAATGATCATTTATACATTTAAAAAAGAAGTGATCATAATAAAGGAAACCTCATACTTTTGCCTCTCGCTCGTCATCTGTGAATTAACATTGTTTTAATGTGATTTCAGCAAATGCAGTCTGAAGGATCTGCATTGATCTAACAGTGTTGTGACTTTAACGTTCACGTCTGCCTGGGGTATTTCTGGTCTCGTAGTCTAGAGACTGTAGACACAACATGGCATTAAAGAGAGTAAGAGTCTTAAGGTCTAATGGACTTTAGAGGGCGTATGGTACGCCTTTTACTGTGAAGAGTTCAGAAGTATGAAGCAGTTTAAAAGCTTGATCCATCCGTTTTCTTAACCACTTATCCATTTGAGGGTCGCAGTGAGACTGGAGCCTAGCAGAGAGAGGCAGGGTACGTCTAAGACGTGTCGCAAGTCTGTTGTAGGGCTAACACAAAAAGACAGAAAGCCAATCACATTCACACAAATGAGTGATTCTGAATCACCATTCACCCTACCAAGAACAGAGAAACCCCATAGAAAAGCCCAATCCGACCGGGGGACTTGAACCCAGGATCTTTTTGCTGCAAAAAGAAAAAAAAGTCTTACTGGCAAAGACTGCAAGGCTTTTCCTGGATGCACAATGTGATCAATAAACAGTCTTTAAATAATGAGCTAGTGTAGAATAACGTATGTCATGAGGTTAAATTACAGACTGTCAAGTTCTGCCACACTTCATAAATCAGATTACCTTAGATTACTTTGAACTAGCTAAACGCAAAAGATTTAAACAATCCCTGTAATTGAATTGGGACAAAGGAGTAACTATAGAAAGCAGGGAAAAAAGGGCTCACTCAGGCATCACTTCGATTGTTGCCTTATATAAAAGACACTGTGACTGTTCTGCCAAAGTATATGTTAGCTACTCTAACATTTTTAGCGTCTGTTCTGCAAGTTCGCTCGTCTGCATCTGTCACCAAGAGTTAAACTATTAAAAGGTCAAGATACTGTTTGGGTTGAAGCACTACATGTTTACATTGCTCTTCAAAGCTGAAGTGTCACTCTGTGGCCAAATGACTTAATCAGATAAATAAACAAGGTATTAATAGGAAAGAGTGTTCATGAGGAGGAGAGTAAGTCAGTCAAGGCGAACAAGAGACGACTCTTCTCAGAAGACAGAGCTTACGTGGCAACGTCACTTAGCCCCACTCTACAGGTATATATACGGACAACCTCGTTGACATCAACACCACGACCATTAAAAGTCTCTACGTGGCTCGGTGGTAAAACTGTGAAGTCTTTTTTATTTTTCTTCTACAACAGTGAGTTTGAAGCTAAATCATGCTGGCGACCAGGGCTTTGCTGTCAAAACAAACGCTGGCTGTTCTTTCTCGCCAGCCTGCCTGCTTTGTGCACCAGGGTGACTACGGCAACTGGGGAAATACTAACGTTGCAGTGGTAAGTGATGCAGATCAGTCTGGGAGAAAGGAGCAGATCCAGTGTGGGTGTAGTTGTGATTTGGTGAGTCCATGTGTTTCAGGTTTTCTCGGGATGTGGATGGTGGGACGGTACTGATGTCCATGAAGGGGTTTAGTGAGTATCACTCCTGCTGAGGTCAGGAAATGCACATGACTGAATTAACACAGGCAGATGGTAATGCACCCCTCTCGTCTTCAGCACCATGTACCACCTGAGCCGTAACGGCGCCCGCTTCCAGATGTTTGCTCCAAATCAACAGCAGATGCACGTGATTGACCACATGAGAAAGCAACCTGCCTCTGGAGAGAACCGGTGGGCCTCGAAGATGGGCGCAGTGGGCGTTTTGACTTTGTCTATGGTTACGTGGGTGCACTTTGTGATGAATTCTGTCCATCCCCGCAGGAACATGATGATGGAGGCAGCCCGCTTCAGTCACGGACAGGGAATGACACAAATGCAGGACCTGTCCAAGCTGGACGTCAACAGCTTCGATGCCGTCATCTTTCCAGGAGGCCATGGAATCATCAAGAATCTGTGAGGAGTGCTGACATGTGAAGAAATCACTCTGAGACCGGCTGGTGTAAAACAGAGTTAGGATTAGATACAACACAAGTTTGTATTACATCAAAAATGAACCACTAATTATTAGTTTTTACTCTTCAGATCATCTTTTATGAAGGACGGCAAAGACTGCAAGCTGCACGGCGACGTGGAAAGGGTGCTTAAGGATTTCCATCGTTCACGCAAGCCTATCGGGTGCGTATGATCCGAGCAATATTCACTACTGCAGTACTGATGGAGAATTTGATAAATCATGAGGCCACTTTAAAGACCGCCAGTGAGTTCTGGCACGCTTTAAATCAGATTATGTTAGATTACTTTAAACTATTTAAAGATTTAAACAATCCCCATAATGGAATTGGGACAATGGAGAGGCTGTAAAAAGGAAAACAGTCAGGCAGTGAATGCTGAGCTGCTGACTGAGAGACTTCATATTTATAGTGTGATTCTGTTAGTAGTTACTAATATGATGTTATTAGGTAAAAATGATCACATCGCATCCTTAAAATTTGTTAGTCATTTCATTTCCTGCGAGTAAAGATTTGCACATGGAAATCTGACTTCTACTGTGGAACAGTGAAACTACAGAGAATAGTCAGTGTGTTAAAATAACAAACCCAGTCGAGAAGAAAAGCTGCATATAATTAAATAAGTGATTGAGAAGATTTACAAATCGTGTGCTAAAAGTTTCCTTATTGGCTCTCACTGATCAGAGCAGACAGCAGGACAAGCAGAGTCCTAAGATGACATCGAGGAACATGAGGGCAGGCAGACCACACAAATCCTACAGTTCAAAGCAGACAGGACAGTCTTGGTACTGACACTCCAGTGTTGTTCAAAAATAGTTTGTTTGTTTTTTTTAAAAAGGAAAAAGAAAGAAAAAAAAATCAGGATCACAATAATCTATGAAAATCTCCAGGTTCATGTAACCCCTCTTACTTTAGTGCTTTTTTCACTTAATCCAATGCTAATTTTTTAAATTAGCATTGGATTAACTTCATCCTGATCCGGATTCAAACTGTATGAGACGACCAAATCCCGATTGCGCCTGTTCTAAATGGGACTACATACATTATGACAGTGCAGGGTGCTGGCTGTGCTTCTGGGTATTCTGAACTCACGTTTTAAATCATAAGATCATAATGAGCCTCATTTATGGAGAGAACAGATTTTTAAAGCTGGCTTTCCTACATGAATGTGTACTTCCACTTTTTTTGACTGCTGCCCCTCAGATGATTGTGTCATTGCAGGCAGTCCTGATGTATGACAGGGCTGATTTTCTGGTTAGAGAAACCTTTTATCCCACTTTACTGCAGTAAAACGTCTATACATAGCCTAATGTTTACCTCATCTACATGATCTCTCCAACTGTTGGTTTATTTGATCAATTTTAAACTTTTATTACATTTTCTTCACAAAATCCCCCTAAATTCACTCTTCTGTTGGGATTAGGATAATCCAGATTTTTTTTTTTTGTAATGTAATCTGATTACAGAATGCCTTTTTGTCTTTTGAAAACATCCGTTCAGACTGCTTCTGACCGGTTTGGCCTTGGTGACTGCATTGGCACAAGGGCACTGATGAGGTGATGAGCAGTGGCTGCGCAGACAGGGAACAGGGTGCAGAAGGCCTGGTCAAAGGTCAAAGGAGATGCGGGATTACAGGAATTAAAGAGTGGAGTTGGAGGCTGAGTAGGGTTAAAAAGTGCTCTTGACCGCAACCCAAAGAGGACTAATCCTTTCCTACTGCCATTAATGCGTACAGAGGAGTCGGAGCCATTACAGATTATTTAAAGACTAAAACAGCCATCATTTGTAGCCATTCTACCATCAAGAGCAAAGGCCTTCAAATGTTTTGCAAGCTGTGTAATTTGGGAGTGAGTATCACTGTCAAAGTGATGACATGTTTCTATTGCAGACGGGAGCCCTGCTGCCTCCATATAACACCCCCTCCATTGTTCTGTTTTGTCAGAGCTGTAATTGAGTCTTTAAATCTGAAAACGATCTGCCAACAAAACAAGCAAACCTATATTTAGAATCACGCCACCTTTCTTAAACCGAGAATTTAGTGCCTGGGGGGCATAATGAGTACTCTGCAATGCGCATCTCCATCCATGGCACAAACCCTCCAGCTGCAGCTTCATGCAGAAAAAAAAAACACCTTAGCTTTTCAGTGCCACGATGTCTGACAGGCAGATCAAAAGGTGCAAAGAGGGGCGAGGAAATGTCGGCTCGCAGGCAGCACTCTTAAAACTCAAATACCTGCGCAGTGCATTAGAAACTGCTCTCATTTCTCCTGAGAAATAACTGAACAGTGCTTCATGCATGTCTGTATTTAGCTTTGTTAACAGTATTTAAAAATGTGGGTAGAATAGAGAATGACGTATCCTGTCTGTTAGAGGTGGGTGGATCAATCGAAGTATCGATAGTATTGATACCAATGCTGGTATTGGAATCAGATTGAGTCTGGTAATAGGAACGATACTTTATTTCTGCCCTCTAAGTTTAGTATGTAGCCCAATGAATTGGATTGATGCATTATTAATGAAAACATATATTAAATTAAAGAAAGGTTTATAAAAAAATCTACACAAAATAAAAAACTTTTGGTTGTCATGGTTATTTTATTTATAGCCTTTAGCACATTTAAACAACTGAAGCTGATCCGAAGTGTTTCAGAGACAGGCACATTTACATCCCAGCTCTGAAACAAACCCAGTTTCAAAATACATGAGTTTTTTTGTCTTGACTAATAATGGTAGAAAGTAAAAATGACTGCGACTGTGTTTAGAATTTGCAAACTGATGATGTTTTATCTCATAAATCATGACACACTGCTCTCCCAAACATAAGCTGTCTTTATAAGTTCTCAGTATCAGTACTGCTGTCTGCAATGCTGGCCTTGTATTTTCCTGGCATCGGATGGATGTCAACATTTGTAGTATCACAAGGTACTACTGCTTGTCATCGATTAAGAGTATGGGTATAAATTGCAGATTAAGTGATGGCAAACGTCCACTGAGCTTCTATTCCCTTTTTCCAAATTAAAACTTCGTTTTTGGGGGGATTTAATTTGCTGTTAAATGATCATATTAATCCTAATCTAGCCACCAGTTTTGTGGTGTCACACCAAATCAGTGCTGCTCTGGGAGAGACTTTCTTTTCTCAGGACTCAGTCCCACCTGTCTGGCTTACACCGGTAAGTCTCCGACCTCAGACAACTGTCCTCTCCTGCTCCTGTTTCAGACTCGCCAGCATGGCTCCTGTGCTGGCCTGCCGTGTGCTGCCGAGCATTGAGGTAACCATGGGTTACGAGCGAGACGACAACACCCGCTGGGGAAACTGGCCAAACACAAACATGGTGCAGGCTGTGAAGGGCATGGGTGCTCGCCACAACGTCCGTGAGCCATATATATCCTTTCCAAGGTTTCTGTTCAGTATTAATATCAGTGAAAAATATTCTCTTTGTCATTATCCTGAAATAACCTCTGATTTGACCTTAACCCTTTCCTTTACGAAGCCTATGTGGATGAGAAGAACAAAGTGGTTAGCACTCCATCCTTCATGTGGGAGACTGATTATCACTATCACTATATATTTGATGGTATTGGAAATATGGTCAAGCATGTCATGCGTATGTCAACCAAGTGAGGTGACATCTGGAGAAGAAATAGTGCTACTGCAAAATATACACCTGTGTACTGTGATGAATTCTTACCTGAAACAATAAAAAAATAGTTTAGTAAAACGCAAATGCTGTGTGTTGTGTAATCTTGTTTGGTCAATATGAGAGCTAAGGATGGGGTTAAAGACAGCGACTGAGAAATCCACTGCGCTTCCTCAAAATAACAAGTCAGAGTTTTAATAGCAAGTGTCCTCTTTTGGTACATTTGTGCTCTTAACTGCTGATTTGTGAGCATGAGAAAGCACCATCACAGCTACTTCCACCAACTTAACAGATAAACATCACATGGAGAAAATATTTAATGGTTTTGATCCCAAAAAGTGTAGGCAAAGTCTAATATTGCACAAATACCCCGACATTTTAAGTCCTTAAATCAAACTGTGATTCAGCTTTCTGCAGAACACTGCCTGCACTCACAATAGTTAGTCATGTAAAGAAAAGTAATCTTGGGAAAAACTGGGAACAAAGGTAAGTGGCAGTTAGTGTCTGTCAATCAAAGCACTTAGTTAACTGATCAGCAAGTGTGAGCTTCTCTGTAAATGCAGACATTTTGTCAGTTTGCTGGTTTTGGAGTATTCGGGTGTGTGTTAAAATAATCCCACAGTGTTCCCAGGAGTGACATCCCAGCAAATTCACCCCAAGGTCAGACCACGCAATGCTGAGAAAAACTGGGAAAAACCCAACAGCTACATCAGACTCTAGAGACCTCAGTTAGCTGATCTTAGTCAGTCGTTAATGTTAAAGCTTATAACAGTATAATTAGAAAAAGACTGAACAAGTAGTGGAGATGCCTGGCCATGTTTGTTAAAGAAAAAAACAAACATCAGCACAAACACCTCACACCATCTGTCAGGCACGGTGGGGAAGCGATAATGATTTGGCCACAGGACCTGGGCACTTTCTGTAAGACCTCCACAAAGTCATGCAGAAAACAATTACTTCATGCCATTGCTGCTTAAGATGGTTCTGCAAGCTGCAAGTACGTAGAATCTAACAGAGCCTCTGAAATACTTTTAATATGAAAGATAAAGCTGACTTGACTTTGTGTCATTTTGAAAGCAATGGCAGCCTCATACCTACAGGTTTGCTATAAACAAGCGTTGGTAACACTTTATAACATGGCCCATGACTAAAGGTGTAATTCCTCCGCATTTAAACAGAATATGAATTTATTTTACTTGTGTACTTATTTTACTAGTGTACTTATAATATAGATGAGGAAATATAGTTTTTCTGCAAAATTGCCAAAAACTTGTACACAGTACTTAAAATGACTTACAATACAACTTGTGCCTCTTTTCCTGTCAAATATCCAAAATTTTAGATACACCTTTTAGATCACTTGTGCACTATTTAAATTCACTTACAATATAATCATTTTCTCTTTGCTGAAGGTGTTTTCCGTTATTGTAGTCTGTTTTTTACAACAACTTCCTGCTGATCTACAACTCTGCACATATTCAAAAACAGACTCCAAACCTTTTTATTAACCCGGGTTTACACTGAATAGGTCCTGTTGATTTGTTTTGTTTTTGCTGTTTTCACTGTCTTTAAGGCATTGTAAACCTACACAGGGTTTTAATGCTGTTGTCTTATTAAGCACATTGATTTTACACATGTAATGTGCTATATCAATAAAATTGTTATTGCTATATAAATCTAAAATCTACTTAGATTATAATTATTTCTAATTTTTCAGAACTTGTAGTGTACCTACCTTCAACTACTTGTGGATAAATATAATTACATAATAATAATAATAATAATAATAATAAAGAAATTCCATTTAATTACAGGGGAATTAGACTCTTTAGAAGCCTTATTTTAGAGGGTTACCCAAGCTTTAACGAGAGGGACTATTGTGTTAACAGTGATAGGTGTTAAGTGTTTAGAAAAGAAAATCAGTCAACACTCTTTCAGTCTGATGCATTCTGAATAAAACAATTTATTCATTACAAACATATAAAAATGACAAAAAACAGCCAGGTGGTAAGATATAAAAATTTCCAGTTTATACAGAGCTTCCAAAGCCATCGTCAGAAATGCATTTTCATCTGGGTTAGGAAAGTAAATATAGTACAAATCCCAAACTATAGCTACAAAGATATTCTTTAGATCTCTGTTTGTCAGGTGATGTACAAAAGCGTCTTCTGTTCGGTAAAAAAAAACCCCCAAAACAAACAAAAAAACGGGCACAAAATTCATAACAGACTTCAAATACAGAATCAGAAGTCGATGAAATATTCACAGTGCTGCCTTCACATCGAGGATGTGAATTGTAAACATCGTTGCATATCGTAAGTCGCTTCAATAAATATACACAAATACTCATTGTGTGAGGAGAAGGTGTTCGATCAGTGTGAATCCTCCGGTTTTTGTTTGAATACATCCCGCCACTCGAAACCTCTCCACTGTCATTCAGGGTGATGTGAATAAAATAAGGCAAAAATAAATTTCCCTGTGTATCTTATCAAGTGTTACAGTATCTGTTATTTATAAATCGCAGAGGTAAAGTCTGACTGACTCAGGTGGAGTAAAGAAGCGTTTTTCTTTGAAGAGGACTGTACACAATACAACATTCAATCATTCACAATAAACTATATATAAACATTTATACATTTTTAACAAATATAGGGGCAAGATTTTAGGTGAACTGATTAATAAGAGCTCAATGGGAGGATGTTACTGGGACAGATAATATGTGGGACACATAATTTTAGGCAACCAAAGGGCGAGTTGTAGCAGGAAGTGAGCAAATTCTTGTAAAGGATCAGTAACACAAATTGCAGGAAGCCTTAGCATTATTTAAACTGCAAGTACTATTATTATTGTTTAAGTACTTAGTCTCATTAAGTGGGAGTGGGAAGAAACTGTTTTTAGTGCTGTTTGATTGGTATCACAGGCGACATTAGAGACACAGACACTGCCCAAACATCCTCTTTTTTTTTTTACTAAAGGAGCGTCTTAAACAGTCCAAATACGTAGCAGGCTGTTGCTTTTATAAAGCAGGTCTTTCTGAGCTGTGGACTGTAAAAAAATTTAAGCCTCCCTAAACTTTTCATTCCTTTGGGCCTGATTGTCAAGATTACAAAATAAAACCTCAAACACAGCTGCACGCACTTTGTAAGAAAAATAAATAATTCCTTTTCAGCTTCATTATGCAAAGCACAATGGAACAACAAGACAAGAAAAAGAATACGCAATCCAAAAACAACCGAAGAGTTGCTGTGAGTTGATGAGCAATGTCCATTTTAAAAGAGGATTCACATAACAAAGCTCCAGTGAGGTGTGACTGTGTGGTGACCACAGCGCTGTCGTTAATTCATTAAAACTGCTATTTGATATCTCCCTTAGAGGTACCTGTGAAAGACAAAAACACAGGAGTTTAGCATTACACGAACCTTGAAGGGCCAGGTTAAAGGAATTTAAATATAATCAGAACGTTTTAATCAAGCACAACTTCACTGCACATCAATGATATGAAAGCAGGCAAGAAGATGGTGCAAGCAAGGCGACCAGTGAGAGGTGGAGAAAGGAGGAAGAAGGCGAGAGGGCAGGCAGAATAACGGACCGAGTTAAGCTGCTAGAGCAGTGCTGAGCTGGAGTCAGAGTCTGAATCGTGGCCAGGGGTGACGCAGGGCTCACGGGAACAGATGGATTCCTGAGCACGCCTGTACTCTTCGTACTCCAGGCGGAGAGCGTTGAAACGTGCTTCACTTAGAGAGCGGCTGAACTGGCATCGAGGTGGATTGAAAACTGGCGGGCTGACTGAGGGAGACGGGCCTGGGGGGGTGGGTGAGGTGAGGCACAGGAAATGCATGGATGGGCATGTCATGGGACAAGCTCACAATAATCACAGCACGAGGGCACAGGATGAACACATGCAGCCATCACTGTAAGGCAGGATTCACATGGATATGCTGCTTCAGTGCTTGACGGTGGTTGTTTCCCAGCTGGCTCTTATAAACTTTGTTCTATTCACTTTTATTTAGATAGTGCCAATTCACAACAATAATCGCCTTAAGACGTTTTATATTGTAAGATAAAAACACTATAATAATAGAGAGAAACCCCAAAAATCTCATGACCCCTGTGAAAAACTACTTGGTGACAGTGGGAAAGAAAAACTCCCTTTTAACAGGAAGAAACCTCCATCTGGCTGAGTCATCTGCCACAAGTGGTTGCAGGTGAGGTTAATTATTCAATACAATGATGGACTTCTTCTTTGTGTTGACGATGAACTGCACAAACGGGCACATCGCTCTCTCAGGATATTTTCCTAACACGATTTCTGGAAAATCGGAATAAATGTGATGTGACGCCTGCACTGGCATTTCAAAAGCAAAGTAATGGATCCATAATTAGTTTGGCAACATGTGATGTCACCAGATTTAATGTAACTAGCAAATTAGTCGGGGTAATATCAAAGTGCATGAAAAGTGAGAGCGCCGAAGCATGAAACACATCCGTGTGAATCCTGCCTAAGCATTTCACTCATAAGGAAACATGCAACATAAAGAAGAAAAGTAACAGAAATAGTCACCTTTGAACCGCTGATCCTGGAGGCCACCGGCTTGATCCCGACTGCCTCTCTGTAAACCTGTTTGTGACTGATCAAACTTTGTGGCCTCCAGGACCTCAGAGTCCACACAGGCATCAGCAGAGTCCCACTCATAACTCTCATCTACTGATGTGTTCCTTCTAGACACACAAAACAAGGTGGTAAGAATAAAAGCAATTACCAACAAGTAAAATGACAATATTAATGTTATTTTGGCAACAGAAAGAAGTCCTTCAGCCGTGAGGACGCTCCAGTTTGTTTTGCTTTTTCAGGTGTGACGGTGTTTCACCTTTTCGCTCTCCTCTCAGGCAAATCCATGTCAGCTCTGTGACGCTCATTTTCCTCTGTGGTTTCTGGGGAGCTGAGCAGCGTGGGAGTGATGGACAGGGACTGCCGGAAGAGTCCAGCACTCCCTCTACCACTGCTCTGACTGGCATAACTGGCCCTGCCCCCCTCCCTGATTTCTCTGCCTTCCCGGATCTCGGTCTCCCCTCCCCTCCCCATCATC